ACAGGCAGCTGCTGGGTTTCAGGTGTAGCCAGTGCCAGGGGCTGTGTGATGGGAGGCAAAAAGGGCCAGGATGGTGTCTAGCACCTAGCAATCCTCCTCTGTGGCCTCCACACCCTGTGTCACCATGGTAGCCTGCTGCCCCTGTGCCTCCAGCATCTTCTTAAAGAGAGCAGTGTGCTTCTTCTTGAGGACCAGGAGCCTGTCCTGGAACACATGGTCCTCCTGGTCCCTATACCACTCGTGTCCAACATCCTGGGTGAACCAGGGCCATGAGACTGCCAGCTGCTCCTCTGTTGTGTGGCCCAGCCAGTCTAGCAGGAGGGTGTGGCCTGGTGTCCACTTCTGGCAGAGGCAGTGCATTCAGAGGGCACTGGTTGATGGTAGTGGCATCCCTGAAGGCATATCCCCAGTGGTGACTGGTGCCTCTCCCCTGTATGCAGCTTTTGGACTGGAAGAGCCAGTAGAGAGAAGCTTTAGGAGAGTTTGCAATGTTTCAGAAATAACACACACTATACCAAGGGGCTGTGCCCTCCCTGGCTTCAGATTGGGGATTGTGTGGGCAGGCTGGGCACAGTGGGGCAGGGGCTCAGCCTTGGTTCAGGCAGGCCAAAGAGAGAGCTGAGACCTTGCCCGGGCTGAGCTGAGCAGAGCCCCCAGGAGCTCATTCCACCTCTCCCATGGGCAGTATCTGGCACAGTGGTGGGTGGAGCAGGGAAAGCCGTGCCAGGTACTGGGGGCAGATATAGTGCCAGCCCATGTGCTGTCTGGGATGGGAACCCCAGCACGGGCTTCTAAGGGCTCCTGAATCCTGGGTGGGCAGCAAGGTGTCCCACCCCCGCAGGGCTGCATTGCACAGCTGGCAAACCAGCTCTGAGGGAGAGGTGTGGGGGAGCACTAGCAAAGGCCCTGTCCATGGTGCGCTGCCCCCTATCCCTGCAGGGAGTGGTGGCAAGGGGTGGGGGGCTTTCCCTTGTGCTTTGACAGGAACCCTTGCACCTTCTGCCCCCTCTGCCGACTTATTCCCAAGTCTGTCAGCACACTGACAGGTGCCACTGCTGCTGGAACCACTGCTTCAGCTCCAGCATCTGCACCTTGGAGAACAGCACCTGCTGCCTCTTCTTGGTGGCCCCTGAGTGCACCCCACACCTTTCTTTGCATTCTTTGGCCAGGACTGCGTTCGTTGTTCATGCTACCCTCAGCCACTTTCCCACCATGGCGCCCACCCACAGGCTACAGCATGGCTGTGTGTGTGGGCAGCTGTCTAGGATGCTGTCCAGGGCAGGCTGCAAATGCATTCACCCAGTGAGTTGCATTAAGGTGCCTTAAGGCATGCACATGTAGACATGCGCCTAAATCATACAGGTAATTCACTTGTAGACATGCCCTTAGTGTACTAGTATAGAAAACTAAACAAGCTGTTGCACAACAATGAAGCTAATTCTTTGGCTTCAGGAGAGCTGTATGATTCATGCACATCATCATGAAATGAGGCCCAGTGTAGAGTTGGAGGGTTTGATTCTCATTTTTGTTGGGCAATAACAGATATTGAGTGTTATGATAAACTAAAAAAATAAAATATTCATTGTATTAAAATAGTCTCTGCATTGTCAAGTGGGTTTTTCCCCCATTCAGTATCAGGACTCTTAGACACTTCTAGGCTCTTCAGAAGATTTTTTGGTGTACATTTAGAATTGAATATAATGTATTTTTGGTGCCTTAGAATGACTGACTTGATTCACCAGAGACAGAAGACTCCTTGGTTTTGGCCTGATTTTTTATATGCTTTGCTCCAAGAAGGAAAGCAGAGCAACAGAACTCTCAAGATCCTTCACAGTTTTACAGACAAGGTAATTTGTTATTCCTTGTTTCCCACTGTTTTCTAGTTCACAAAGCAAACTGTTGTCTGTACTGATACTCTAACTTGAAAAGTGGTGGCAGTGTTTCATCTTTAGGAACAGTATTACCTTGTCTGGGGGAGAGGTCTGAAAATACAACAGTGTGTATGGTATTGAGACCAAAAGGAAGGTGTTGAACAGAAGAAATACTTCAGTTTTAAAATCACTTGTAACTTGGGTATTATTCAATAGCAGCATGAACCTGTAAGTAATAGAATGTATTTGTTTGGTGCTAAAAATGTGCACAAGTCCTCATCTTAATATCTTTAAGATTATCCACCTTTGTGAAACTTTTCTATCTTCACTACTATAAGGAATTTCATACTAGACAAAAATACTGTAAGGGTGGGTACGTAACTGGTTGGATTATCATGTTTGATGATGTATCAATGTCTGTTTGGGAAGAGTTATCAAGTGAGTCTTCCCAGAGGTCTGTCCTGGGCACAATATTGTTTCATATCTTCATTAATGATTTGAAGGATGGGATTGAATGTACACTTAGTAAATCTGCCAATGCCACCAAGTTCCGTGCAGTTGCAGACACTGGAGGGTAGGACTAAGATTCAGAATGATCTTGGTGAACTGGAGAAATGGTCCAAAATCAATCGGATGAAATTCACCAAGGACAAGTGCATAGTCTTGCACTTGGGATGGAGCAATTGCATGTTGGAATGCAAGCTGGAGAAGGACTAACTAAGATGCAGTTCTGTAGAAGAGGACCTGGGTTTCATGGTGGGTAATAAGCTGAATCTGAGCTTACTGTGTGCTCTTACTGTACAAAAAAAACTAATAGCATACTGAGCTGTATTAATAGGAGCACCATTTGCAAATCAAGGGAAGGTATTATCCAGTGCCACTTGCAAATCAAAGAAAGGTATTCTCCAGCTCTACTGCACACTGATGATGTCTTACCTGGAGTATTGTGTCTAGCTTTGGGCCCCTCATTTCAAGAAAGATGTTTACAAGTTAGAATCAAGCAGAGAGTGGAAAAAAGGATTACAGACCTGGTAAATATGATTTATAAGAATAGGCTGAAAGACCTAGGGTTATTTAGTCTGGGGAAAAGAAGATTATGGGGTGGAGGGGATTTTGATAAGTCTTCAAGTATCTGAAGGGTGGTTATAATACCTATGAGCATAGACTATTCTATGTTGCTGCAGGGGATGGGAGTAGTGGTCATAATTCCAGCAAGGGAAATTTGGTTTGATATTAGGAAGAACTTTCCCACTATGAGGGTGGTTAAGCAAGGGAACAGTCTACCCAGAGAGGTTGTGGAATCTACATCTTTGGACATTTTTAAGACTTAGTCAGACACTTGACTGGGGTGGTTTAGTTAGGGTAGGAAAAACATATTTCCTGGATTGGCTGGGACAGTCCCAGATTTCAGAGGTTGTCTCTGTGTCCTAGCCACTGGTGAAAGCTGAAGCAAAGATACTGGATTGGCAGGATCCTGCTTGCATGTGCAGCTCCTGAGCCAGGAACCAGGCATGTGTGAGTGGGATCATGCCTATCCAAAACTTTTGCTTCAGTTTTCTCCAGGGAGACCAGCCAATGGGATGCTCCCTGGTTTGGAGCCTGCTGGGCTGCAAATGGATTCACTTGCACAGTGGAGTTGGGGTTCGGGCTCAGGGCCCCACCCACACCCTCCCTCATACCACCCCACACACCCAAAACCATATCACCCCCCACACCCCCTCCCCCACACACAGCCACACCCCTCTACACCCTTCTCCCCACACACAGCCACGCTGCTCCACAAACCCCACACATACACACTCCCACCCCTACAACCCCTCATAAACCCCACAGCCATCCACACAGACACCCCCCATCACACCCCACAAACACCCCCCCCACACCCCACACACATTATATAAGACTAAAACTTTATTTTGAGCTATTATGCAATCACCTTGTTATACATTATGCAAAAACATGTAAATCAGGACAAAAATAGTCTTTGAAATAAAATTAAAATATCTTATAGTAGTTGTTTGACTTTTACCATATGATTTGCTTTTTTTCTGGTTCCAAGATGGCAATCCCCTCCCCATCCCCTCCCAAAAGGAGTACTTCTGGGGGCAAGGGGAAGGACTTCTGGTGGCAAAGGTCAAGGATTGGGGGCAGGACTTCCAGTCCAAAGATGGTGACCAGGAGGCAGGGCACCTGTCAAGGAGCTGGGCTACACTTGTGGCCCTTAACAGCTCAACAAAACTCATTAAATCGCCCTTTGGCCAAAATTATTGCCCACCCCTGTATTAAGTGATGAGAGTATATGTGTTCCCATGAGTGAGCAATATATCATTTGGAGCCAGGGATGCAGGGATATTTTTCACTTGTGTTGGCAGAATCTAAACCATGAAATATATATTTATTATTTATTACTTCAGGTTATTGTGGAAAAAGCCAATGAGATGAAGAACCACCAAGGAAATAAAGGTGACTTCGTAGACAGCTGCAAATCAAGTGAATCAAAAAAGAGAAGAGCTTTTCTTGACATGCTTCTGAATGCAACTGATGATGAAGGGAACAAACTGAGCTACCTGGATATTCGAGAGGAAGTGGACACTTTCATGTTTGAGGTACTTGGATGAACTGGGGTCTTTTAGAGCTTGAGATATTATGTCTATGAAGTTGCGCTTTTTTTTTATAAGAAGATAAACTTTTTACTTTTAACTCCCTATAGCTCTACATGAATAGGAGAAAATTAAGAGGGCCTTGAAATCATATAAGTTATAGTTCAGAGTCTTGTTTTTCAGGAAAAAATGGATTCCTAGAGTAACAAATCATAAATGCAGAGGCAGACTCCTAACACACCTAACATAGAATGGTTTAGGAACAGGGAAAGGGGTTTTTGCTTGGTAAATGGTCCCATTTATTTCACAACATTTTTCTTTATTCATTCTTCAGTCACCATGTAGTATAAACAGTATGTAATATTATAGTTTTGGTTCTTAATTTTTGTAACTAGGCTTGTTTCCTTTAAGAGTTGTAGGTATAAAAATTTCAGTGCATATGTGCAATGAGAATTCCAATTGATTATCTGGGCAAATTTGCATTTGTAGGGCCATGATACAACAGCTGCTGGTCTGAACTTGTCCATATACTTACTTGCAAGTTATCCTGAAGTTCAGAAGAAAGTGCACAGGGAACTGGATGAAGTGTTTGGTAAGCTTTCCAACCTCCTGTGAATTGGATTTGGTTCAGGTTGTAATGTAATGTACATGTTTTTTTGTGTGTATAGATGTATAAAGGAAAATAAACACTTACCCCACCACTGCATGAGCAGCCGGTATTCTTTAAATACAGAGACAGCCAAGGCAGTTGAAATAGGTTGCTTAGATGCTAGTGCATAAATACCTAAATTAGCTTTCCTTACGTCTTCCACCCCAGTTTTGGAGAGCTCTGGTATGTGAGCAAATAAGGTACTAGAATGACAATTCAGTAACTTCACAGAGAGAGACATTTAGGATAGACTCTGTTTCAATTTATATGTCCAAATGGTAGTCACGCAGCTGCTTTTTTGGCACGTGGTGCAGTTTTTGATCCTACTCAACATACTGTGTGGATGTAAAAGCATTGTGTGACTGCTGAGCATATGCAACAGTCTGGGTGCTGGCTGGCCATGCTCCATATGTTAGCAAGTGTAAGTCACAAAACTTTGTCTGGCAAATCCCTATGACTAGTGAGTCTTGAAGCTGAGGCCGTATACCTTCCATTTTTATATTATTTGGATATTTATTAATATTAAAGGAAATGGATAAGAAAGGTGTATAAATTTCTGCCCCATTGGGAGCAGAAGGCTAGACTGGAACCAAGTCTTGCTTTTTTATTCTATAGTATCGTGTAACTTACTGAGCCATATACCTTTAATTACTTTGTGCTCCTGGCCTCATGGCTGCCAGCTCTTGGCTGACCTGAGCCAATTTCTAAAGAACAGCTGGTGAGGGGGAGATTTGTATAGTGTCTATCTTGTGGCCTGGTGGTCAAACCACTATGCTGATAAGTCAGAGGGTTTCAAGTTCAAAGTCTGTGTGTATAACAGGAGTTCAGATCCTGAGTCTCCAGTTTTCTGGGAAAGTATCCAGCTTTCTTGCCAGGCCACAAATCCAAGACTTATGCTTAGGTCAATGGCACTTAGTCAGCTGGGTAACTGCCATTTTGGTGTGTAAAGTGAAATAGGAGTCTGCCTATAGGGGAATGACTGAAACCCGTAAGCACAACTGAATGCTCATTAAGTTGTTGGTATTTTAAGGAGGTGAGTATGTTCAGTCTAATCAGGCATAAGGCAGGACAGAGTAGTACCTTAGGGGACCTATACATGTGCCAAACATCTGCTTTGACATATGCTAATTAGCACATGTCAGAGCAGACTCGATTTAATCCAGTCTGCTGGAGTGTGTTAATTAAGTCACTCCAGCAGCCTCCACCGCACATCTGTTCAGCATCCCTGCACTTCAAAATGGCAGCAAGGGTGCTTGAACTAAAGTTTATCAAACAAGCTTTAGTTCAAGTGCCCCTATTGCCAGTTTTGAAGCATGGGATGCTGAATACATGTGATGCTGCGGTCACATTAATTAAAGTGCCCCCCCCACTACCTCAGCACATGTGTACAGATGCCTTTACAGATTAACCACTTCAAAGAGGCATAAGGTTTCATAGAGAACAACTTACTTCATCAGGTGCCATGAATGGACTTGCAGGGAACAGGGATTCTAAATAGAAAAGGGTAACTGAAATACAAAGGATAGGGAAGGGGAGGAGGAAAGGAGAGGAGACACTGGTGAGAGAGGCAAAGGTAGTAAACAAAGCAAGTAAACCATAGGGATAAAAGCTAGCCCAGGTAATGAGGTATGAATCTGTAGTCTCTGTCTAGAGTAGGGCAGTTCCACTCTGACTATGTGGGGGCCACAGGTATGCCAGCTATATGCTGTACACCCCTAGGCCACATGCTACTTGGGGCACACACTGTATTGCATGGGCCTCTCTTGCCACACTGTGGCGGAAACTCCCTTGCTGCATCTTGCCAGTGCCATTGCACCATGATGTTGCATCCCCTCCCCTGCCACATTGTGCCATAAAGAGAGCAACCCCTACTGTACCACATTGCTACTCCTTTGGTGTGCAGGGTCCCTGCCTTCCTTCTGCACTCCCTGGCCACAGACTCCCTCAGCCTTATGGGCCACCATGCCCTACCTCACCCCCAGAGGCAGGGGTAGGAAGTAGAAGCCAGAGGAGGGAGGGGGATGTCATAGTTTCTGGCAGCAGCTTGAGCAGCAGGAAAGCAATGGGGGAAGTGTCAAATAGACTGGTAGCCCAGGGGCCTCATGTTAACTCCTTGGGGGCTGCCTGTTGGACAGCCCTGGTTTAGATCACATTTACATCCACAATCCAGTCTGGGTGATTTCTTCTGCAATGTCACGTTCAAGTCATTTTTTAAAGTTTTGTTGCTTAAGAACAGCTACTTTGAGGTCAGCGATAGATTCTCCAGGAAGGTTACAGTGTTCTGCTACAGGCTTTTCTGCCTTTCTGTAACTGATGTCATATCAGCGTCCGTTCGTTCTTTCATGCAGGGATCATCCCATTTGTCCAGTGTAGACAGCAGAGGAGTAATGTAAGCATGTGATGACATGTGACATTGTAGAGGAGTAGGTGAATAAACCCTGAATGTTGCAATCCATGTTGTTTGGTCTAGTGATGAAGTGGTTCATGTTGATGAGGACACACAACTGGGTTCATTGCAAGGCCTGGTGCCTTGGTGAGACTAGGAGTTAGGTAGTCTGGGGATGTGTCATTTGAAGTTAGGGTCTGCCTGTAAGCTAGGACATTGTCTCCAGGAAGGGTTGGAGGTCATTAATGATGTGTCCAAGATTTGTAACTTAGGGGTTATAGCTGACAGCCTGAGGTATTCTGTTGTATTTTTTACGGGGTTGGTATTGTAACAAGTCAAAGTAGGGTGCAAGTCTGGCTATTTTGATTTTAGTGGCTACAGTTCTTGGATTATAATGTAAGTATAGGTATCCCCTCTCTGGATCCTTAAGGTATACAACCTGGTTGGTGGGATCAGAGCAGGCAAAAGCTGTTGGTATGGAAGTAGCTGTAGTGGTCAGTTGATTTCTGATACAATGTGTGGCCACTGCAAACTTTCAGAAGTGGTGCCTACGAAATTAATTTCCTGGGTGGAGTATTCTAGTTTGATGGAGGGGTGGAAGTTGTTATATTCCTGGTGAAAGTTGTCTTAGAGATTCCATCCCTGTGTTTACATGATGAAGCTATTTCCTGTGTTTCCTGCGTATACTGGGGGGGTGGTAAGAGGGCAACTGTGGAGGAAGTGGACTTCAAGGTCTGTCATAAATATACTAGCATACAGGGGGACTGTACATGGGAGTGCCATTTGGAGGTGTAGACAGACTCCAAATCTGAAACAGTTGTGTGTGAGGACAAAGATGGAGAGTACAATGGAAATAGGAGAAGTATCTTTGTTCTTTATGGTTTGTAATCTGTCCTCATGAGGGATGTTGGTGTATATAGATGTAACATTCATGATAGCTTATATTGTAGTTGCTGGAAGCTTGTCAGTGGAACCTAGTTTCTTGAAGAAATCTTCGATGTCCCTCAAATAGCTGGCAGTTCTAGTGGCACATGGGATTCGGATAGAGTCAGTGTAGTAGGAAACTCCCTCTGTGATGGTGCCAGAGACAGTGGGGCATTCTGGGTTGCTAGAATCTTGGGCAATAAATAAAAGTTGCCTGGCCTGGGTTCCCAGGAGCTGGAAGCATAAATCTTCCCCTGTTACTCTGTAAGGTGGCACTCTGCCTTGCTTCCTGCCTGGCTGCAGACTAATGCAGCTAGCTTATTAGGCCAGTTGTAGTTCTAACACACTTGTGATCTTCTATAGGTGACTCTGACCGTCCTGCCACAACGGAGGATTTGAAGGAGCTACGCTATCTTGAGTGTGTTATTAAGGAAACCCTTCGTCTCTTCCCTTCAGTGCCATTCTTTGCCCGGACCTTGAATCAAGATTGCTCTATTAGTAAGTAGTTCTAAGCCTTACATGTGTAGTTATGATTTTACATATAAGTATTTCAGTGAAGGTATTTTATAAATAAATAGTGTTTTTTCCATGTGTTTGTTTACTGACAGTTACTTACTTCCCTGGCCTGTTGGTTCTTTTTTTGTAGGAGGATTTGAGATACCAAAAGGAACAAATGCAGTTATTTTTCCCTATGCACTGCACAGAGATCCAAACGTTTTCCCAGACCCAGAAGAATTCAGACCTGAGCGTTTCTTCCTGGAGAATTCTAGTGGAAGGCATCCATATGCATATGTACCCTTCTCTGCTGGACCAAGAAACTGCATTGGTGCGTAGCCAATGATAAAAACCAAAGTTCATTGTAGATGATTGTTTTACTCCTGTGGTTGCTTTTCTGGAGTTGCCCTTGCTGCAATCAAGCAGAGCTTCTGGATTATAATGAATACTGTAGTTCTCAGGTGTACAGCAGTTCCCATTGAAATCCCACACACCTGTCTGTTGGTATCAGTGACCTTGGCGACAGCACATTTACAGTAGTTAATTCACATCAGTTGTATCCAACTGTGAAAAGCACACTAGTATTCTGAGTGCACAGGTTGAGCAGCTTCCTGGGATTAGCTGTTTCCCAAAGGTGCTATTACAGGACCTCATCATCCAGAGGCTGGATGGCAAGTAATACCCTGACTGCCAGTACCAAATACCTGCACCCGGATGAAAGTGGACATGCAACACCTATACCAGGGTATCTTAAACAAGGGCATTCTTACTACCTAATTTTCCTGCATAACTTTACTGTGGATATGAGGCACTTATATCAGTGTAGACATTTATGATGTCTGTCCCCTCCTTGTTTACACTGGTAAAGGCTTACACACCAGTGCAAATGAGTCTATCCTATATTCTTATTTTCTTTCTTCCCCTGGGTTTTCACAGAGTCCTGAGTGCCTCATGCTTTTTCCTCATTATTGGTACTTACTGAATCTGTAGCTCTGTGTCACATGGTGGCTTCCCTTCTGATTCAGCCGTGCTGGAAGTGTCTCTACAGACTCCAAACTCTGTAAGTCAGCAGAACTGCTAATTAGGAGCCCCATGAAGCAATCTCTCTCTCTTTCTTCTTTTGACATATCTGCTGTCTATGTAATGATCTCAACTGCTTTTATGTGGAGGGCAAAATTTCCTGCCTCACCTCTCATTTTTTCTGCAGTGGCTGCTTTGGTGTTCACAGAATTCCTAGCATTGGCCCACTTTTCCAGGCAGGAACTCTCCTAACTCATGTCTCTGAAGCACCTAATACTGGTGGATGCTCCAGAATACTGCAGAGTACAGTGTGCATTATGTAGTTTGTATAACACTGAAATTCCTGTCTCTCCATGCATCTATGGTCTGTGTTCTGGTACATAAACAGCTCTGAATGGCTTGAGGATAAAAGGTAAATGTAGGTTGCTTTGGTTTAACTTAATTTTCCATTTGTGTGCTCAAATATTCCACTATCTGAAGGGCTTGTTCCCTTAGGAGAAGGCACAGGCAAAGTCTGGCCCATGGGCGAGTGGTGGACTCCATTTCCCAGCAGCCCCTACCTGTGCAGCTGGGTCCGGTCTCCATGGTGACCCCAGCCACACCTACACTGTGATAGCTCCAGACTGGGGTTGCCATGGAGACTGGTTGCAGCTGTATTGGCAGGACATGCAGGGGGCTGCTCCAGATCCACGGGGATCTTGCGGTGGGGGTAGCTTGGTCCGGGGCGAGGGCAGAGCCATGACCTGCAGCCTGCGTGCTCTGGGGAGGTGTGTGCAAGCAGCGGATTGCAGCTCTGCCCCAGCTCTGGAGCAAATTGTCATTGCTGCAAGGAGCCGAGGCAGAGCCGTGATCTTCTGCCTGCGCGCCTCTGCCTGGAGTGTGCAGGCTGCAGATCACGGCTCTGCCCTGGCTTTGGACCAAGTTGCCTCTGCCGCAAGATCCCAGTGGCTCCGGAGCAGCCCCCTGCCCTGCCACATGCCTTGCCGGCAGGGCTGGAGATGGTCTCCATGGTAACCTGAGCCTTGTGCTATCACAGCACAGGTGCAGCTGGGGTCTCCATGGAAACCGGACCCAGCCATGTGGGCATGGGCTGCTGGGAAATAAGAGTCCAGCTGCCAGCCAGATCCACCATTTTGCCCACCCCTGCCTGAGGAGTTCAAGGCTGAAACTGGACAGATACTGAGTTACCTCAGTGACAAAGGTCTGACTGCTGGCAGTGCTCTCAGCAACATGCACTGAATTTCTGCTGTTGCTGTAGAAGATCACTGGAGTCAAAACTATTAAGTGATACTGAAATATTAAAACCCATCAAAGACTTGTCTTTTATTTTGATCCCATTTTCATCTGTTGAAGGAGGGATCTAATTTCTTACAGCTAGGGAAATTTATTATCAAAGTCTATAGCAGTGGCTTTCAACCATTTTTCATTTGTGGACTCCTAAACATTTTTTAATGGAGGCGTGGACCCCTTTGGAAATTTCGAATGGAGGTGCGGACGCTTTTGAATTGTAAGTGTGGGTATTCACGTAGTTTTGATTGATCATAGTCATCTTTCATGGGCCCCTTAGACATACTCCGTGAACCCTCAGAGGTCTGTAGACCATAGTTTGAAAACTAAGCAAATATTAACAGCCTCTGCACAACAGACCCTACTGGTCTATAGAGTTCTCCATTTATGCTTTGTAGACATTCCAGGCCACTGCCTAATTGGTATAATGGGAAGGGATTGAGGGATGATGGAATTTCAGCACTACTTTCTCCATCCTCTCCTTCTTTAGGTTAAATCTTTGGCCAGTTGTATGGGGTGTGTTGCCATTTGCTTAGTTTATTTCTGCCTGTTGTCTTTCCCCCATTTTTCTGTGAAGTCCTTTATTATCTGCCCTATTTGTTGTCTTCCAGCAAACTTACTGCATAGTATTAAAGGTGCATAATAATGTACTATCTGTTCTTCTACTGTTTGTGCACATCCATGTATCTGTGGGTGTGCATAAAATAGCAAAGCTCTGGGTGCTGAGCCCATCTCCTGTCCTACTCTTTTGCATCTTGTTTCGACCATTCTTTGCTTAGGCCAATCAGAGGCACAACAGGCCACATTTTATGTCATGGTGTTCCCTTCAGCCTACAGGGTCCCCTTTAATCTCTTTTTGCTTTGAAGCCATAGGGTCCTGGGAAAAGCTACTCCCAATAGTATCTCAAAAACCCTGATTTTGATCTACAATAGTTTGTAATTGGATAGCTGATAAATAGTCATTCCCCAAACTGTATTCCCTGAGAGAGCTTTGGACAGTTGTGGGGGTTGTTTTGCACTCCAACTATTTTTTTTTTCCAATTTACCCTTTAGGCCAGCGCTTTGCACTGATGGAAGAGAAAGCTGTTCTAGCCATCCTCCTACGCCACTTTTGGTTGGAAACAAATCAAAAGCGTGAAGAGCTTGTCCTGGCAGGAGATCTGATTCTTCGGCCAAATAATGGCATCTGGATCCAGGTGAAGAGAAGAACTCACATGGGATGAGAAGAAAGTTTCAAGAATTTAGATCCCTGTATAATATAAAATTATTTTAGAACCTCCTAGTTCTTTCCTTCCACTACATTCAGAACCACCATCAAAAGGTCACTGTTCCATCCCCATTCTGAAAATCAAACCACTTTCAGACATCCAATTATTTCATAGCCTTACTTGACACCCTGGGTTTTCTTTCATTGAAGTACTATTCCTGGTGCCCTGTGAAATGGACATGTTCATAGAAAGTGACTAATTATTCTCACGCTAAAGAATAAGAACTCATACATAACCTACCCATTCTCCCAAAGGTAATATCACTGAGGTTGTCTTCTAACCATAGTTTCTAAATGATAAGATGCCATTACTCACCCACCTATAGATTCATCTGCTCAATGTACTGCATCTTAAATGAAGGAAATCATAATTGTATATCCTGACTAGAATTGTTGTCCTGACAGGGCCATTGGAGAAGATACTGACTTGAATTTGCTTGTAATGTATGTTCCAGAACCTCACTTGAGGTGAATCATTCTAGATGCATGATGTCAAAGGAGCTTTGAGATTTTGCTGAGCAGATTTGCTGATAGTTTGTTTAATTTGTTCAGCCATTTATGCTAAGTGCCAAATTTGTGTCTCATATACATGAATCATATATACTAGCTTCAGAAGTTACAGAAGTGCAAATAAGAGAATTAATGGATGACTTCCATGATGTATATCAAAGAAAAATATGTTTTTCAAAATGAATGTTTTCTGCAACATCTATTTTTAATCTATTTTGATTCATTTTTTGTGATTTACGTACTATGCTGTACTCATCACACAGTTCTCACCAAATTTGCATTGTAGAACTTGTCCGTATGTTAATGAGTTTGAATTAATACCTAATGAGTTAATAATCCAGTTTTTGGGGGTGTTGGCTGTAGCCCTGTTGGTCTAAGGACACAGGCAGACAAGGTTCCTTGAGTAAATGTGATATCTTTTATTAGACCAACTAAATTAGAGCAACTAATTCAATTGTTAGTATTTTTTGTATTTTGGTTTCATTTCCACTACTGGCATTTTGGTCCTAAAACTCCCACCATCTGAAAAACTTGTTTCCTTAGGAGAAGAGGCAAGATAGATGTTACCTCTCAAAGCAGAGCACATCCTCCTGGGCAATGTGTGAGGATTCTGCACCTTACTTGTGCTATTAACTAACTTCAGTCCACAAGCCAGTAATTGTAAAAATGTAGCAACCAGGGTCAGAAACTGCTCTGAGATATTCTTTTTTTCCACAGCAGCTTTCTATTTTGTAATCTTGTAATTAAAGATGCATCAGAATGCAATACACCAAATTCAGGTTGTACAGACAGAGTTGATGCTGGCATGTCTGAATGTTTGAGTGCTTGATATTGCAAACGTAAATATATTCAAGAAAGATTGGTTGTTGCTTGTTCACAGGATAGAAGAGCATGGCACTTGACTGGTGCACCTCCTCATTGCTGAGGGTATATGAAAAGGGGGCTGCTTCTGTTTACCTGACCAGCTCTTTTGCAAGGTACTAGAGGCCTTTGTAGTGTGAGTTCTGTTTCCTTGAGCAGCCTATTTTTTCCACAACTGCAAAATAATTCTTAAAATCCCAAAACACAACATTTTTTGTTGCACCCCACACATGGTCCTAATTGGAAGCCTTACTTCCGTTCCTGGCAAATTAACAGGGACTATAATAAGAATAGGATTGTTCACATGTATGAACAGGATATGCTAGGGAAGAGTCAACATAGGTGACTAATATTTCCAGTTTTAAATCCCCTCTTTCAGTATCATTCCTGAGCGACAGACTTCTCAGTTTTTAGAATTCCAGCATTGGTATAAAAGTCTATATACTTCTTATCATTACCTAGTTACTTATTGTTATGAACCCCAAAAGTGCAGTTGCTGCTAGTCCAGCTGCCACCCCTGCCCAGGCTGTAAAACTTCCTAATTACATCTCTGTTCCACTCCCTTTTTTAAAGGGAGGTCTCTGTGTACTTCAGGGTCTCTTTGTCCCAATGAGATCAGACAGGGAACAACAGGAGCAACCACCCTTAGGGTGCAGGCGGAAGTGGCAATTTTTGCCTGATGTGCCCACAGAAAGCAGTTTATAGCTATGGCCAAACACAGGTGCATGGCTCCACACTACTTCAAAATGGCCAATTGGGTGAAAATCTGAACCCTCATTGCATGAAGTTTCAAATGAAGACATTTCAAAACTGCCTCTTGACCTGTTGCTGTTTTCAGAATGGGAGTGGGGAAAGGGAGTGGAGAGAGTTCGGTCTGGGGGTTTTTCAGCTCCTGCTGGAGGGTGTATTGAAGTCCCCTGAGGTGGTTCTGGCTGCACTACTCCCCTCACCTTTTCATTTATGCACTCCCCATCCATGATCCCACCAAGTCCTGACCCTAGCAATATACCAAAGGAGGCTCTAGTTGGGGAGACCCCTGAGGACTGTGTGGCCACTTTCCTGCCCTTTGTCCATTCACATCTCTGGGCAGAGTTTCACTGGGCAGTGTTCACTGGCTCCTTGAACTCATCCAAGGGCCAGTGGGCACTGTCTGGCATACTCTGCTTGGTGCCCTTCCCTTGGTGCACTCATTTGAGCTTTTGATCTTCACTCCCATTCCCCCCTCATCAAGGGGAGCTTATAGCTGTACTTGATGGGCTTGGGCACATCAAAAGGAATGGCACAGCAAAAGGCCTGCTTGCCATTGTGTTGAGTTTTGAGACAGGGTGTCGGAGACTGAATTTCTTCTCAGAATTGCTTCTACTTTTGCATGAGTTGGGTGAATTCCATTTATGTCAACGCGGAACCCCAGGAACTCAACACTGGTTACCCCCAAAACACAGTTTCTCTAGTTTTAGGCCAGCATTGGCTATGTGGAGTAATACTTCTCACAGTCAAACAACTAATTCTTGCATGGGTTCTCTCTGATAAGGCCATTACAGTAGAAGTGGCAAGGGAAAAGGTTATGTCTGGAATCTGATATGGATGTTTCTGCAGTGCATTATCATACATTTGTCAGCATATATTTGAAAAAAAATATTTGGCTTTATGACAGGCACAATAGTCGTGAACCAGGGCAGATTTACTACTGTTTCCATCTTATTTATTTCAATGGTTTTCAACCTTTATAGGCTTAAAGCATCCCTCAGAAAATGTCACCTCTTATTGTTCACTTGCTTTTTGTCTATCAAAAAGCAATCAATTCTTCTATTGCAAAGAACTCAGACTACAACAGGTCAGAATGTTGTTAACATGATGGATTCCTATTTGAAATCTTGTGAATCATGCATGGACACCTAACGTATTTGTGGTGCCCTGGTTGAGAATCACTGATTTATTAATTTGTTTTATATGCTGTCCTTCCCAACAAACACTGAGGCAGCTTGCATGAAGAAAACAGAATGACTTGAAAAGAGGAGAGTGACAAAAGGACCAAAACAGCTTAAAAGCAGATTAGAACATCAAGATAAAACAGAGAACCCCTCCCCACAAAATGACATTTCATCCTAGTTTCACTGGGTGATTGCATGCCCAAATAAGTTTTATAGCACTTCCAAAAGATGTCCAGGTTTGGGTGGACCACAAGAGAGGGAATTCCAGAACTTAGGAGCAACTGTGGTGAATTGTCACTGAGTGGAGTTGGTGTACTGATGGTACTTGAAAGAGGCTAATCTCAGCTGGCCTTAGACATCACAATGGGGCATAAGGGAGAAGACAGTCCCTTGGGTACATAGGGCCCAGACCATGTAGGGCCTTATAGTTCAAAACCAGCACCTTGAATTGTGCCCAGAAAGTTACTGGGGGCTTTTGTACACACCACATTTTTCCCTTTCTTGCACTGCAACCGTGTGACTGTTTGTATGAATGGGCTTTCCAAATGCTTTAAAAGTCTTTCTGGCACATTAAAATTCCTCAGACGTGGTTTAGTTTGGCTTGCCTAGAATTAAAGCATCACATCCATGGATTTGTTTCTCTTCCAGATGAGCATGCATGTGCCTCTTGCCCCACCTCAAACCCCTTTGAGGCAGGGCAACAGGCATGTGTGGGAACAAAAGAATTTTCCAAAAAAATGTTCCAAGTTTGCAGCGTGGGGAGAAAATTAGACCCCTGGATATCTAGGGGTCTAAAAAAAGTGTAGTATAAAAAAGCGGGGCAGGGCATGGTCCCTGACTGCCCTGAGGCAACTGGAGGCTGGGTCCTCCATAGAGACGCTCTGACTGCCAGAGTGTCTCTATGGTTGCCCCTCGCTCTGGTGCTGGTGAGTAAGGGATCGGGGGGGGCTGGAGGAGGTGGGGATTGTGG